CAGTTGTTTTTGTATTGAACGCTTTTTGAATACTGCTCAATTATTATTTTTTCAGTCAGAATGAATATAAACGGTCATATCTCAGCCAAAAAATGGTTTATAAATATGGGAAAAAATCCATAAATACGTCGCTTCGGCCTGTAAGTCGCAGGGCATGTAAATTATGCAACAAAAAAAACGTGACAAAAAAAATACAGTACTTCTGTTGTTTTGTAGTTCGTTTTTTTTTTTTTTTTACCAAAATTATGATTTGCATTGTAGGGTTGCAGTCTACTTATATATTTGATTTAAAGTATTTTCTCTGTTTTCACGGATTCATTAACATTAGTCTTTAATGCATTAATCATTTCCAGGTGTTGTCCTGTGCAGCAGCTAGTTCTGCCATTGCAGCGCTCTCTCCAGGAGGTGTCCTCATGCAGCCTGTTGGACCACAAGCCATAAACCGTGAGTGCACAAATGATACTTGCCTTCATTACTGATGCTGTTGTTGGGTGGGCTAAAATAGTGATGAGTGACAAAGTTTTAGTTCTTTTATGATCACTGTCTAAAAGTGTAGTCATGGAAAATAATAATTGTCTATGAAATGGTGCAGAATTCATTTTTACTCTCCTGTTGTTGTTGTTGTTTTTTTTTGTTCTTTTTGCAGAGATGATATCCACAGAGCTTCAAGGAGAGTTAAAACATCTTTATGTTGCTGTTGGAGAATTATTGAGACACTTCTGGTCCTGCTTTCCTGTAAACACGCCATTTTTAGAGGAAAAGGTGACTTAAAATTACGAAACTATCCAACATAAAACAAACAACCTTCAATATTTATATATATATATATATTTTCAATTTCTTTGTCTTATACTTTTATTTACAGGTGATAAAAATGAAGTCAAACCTTGAGAGATTTCAGATAACCAAGCTTCGTCCTTTTCAGGAAAAACTCCAGCGTCAGTACTTAAGTACAAACGTAAGTCTCTGAGGTTTTTAGGCGTCTCAGAAGCTTTCACCTGCTGGCGCTTGTGTTAAATCTCTTTCATGCTCCCACAGCTTACAGGGCACTTGGAGGACATGTTGCAGGCTGCCTATACCAAGTTTCACATCTGGCAAACCCGCAGGATGATGAGGAAAACCTGAGCTGTGATTGTGTGCCAGGGAGAAGACTAGAAAGACTTTGATGTATGGTTGAAAGACTCATGAAGGTCCTCCATGCTGTAAGAGGACCACAGCCCGATGGAACGTAGTTCACCAGGGCTTAAAGAGGATATAGAGGGATGCTGCTACAACCTCAGAAGTTCAACAAAGAATAACTGCACCTCAGTCACAAACATTTGTTTTGTTCTTATTTCTTTGTGTTTTCTCTGTGGTTGAGAGCTCTCTACCTGTAAATGTTAAGCAGGACTTTTAAAATGACCAAACGTCAGCAAAAGGCTCTCAGGGCAACACACTGAAAGAAGAGATGCAAGCAGAGGACGGTTCATATGTTTCATCTCTGCACAAAGCAGAGGAAAAAAGAGGCTTTGGGGCATGGTGAGCCCCCTTGAAAACGGGGAGTAATATGTAGAAGTGTTCAAATAAACCTGAAGCAAGAGAAGAGCAATACTGTAAAGACATTTCACATTTGAGTGCATTAGGGTGGCTTAAATGAAAGTGTCAGCGGTTTATAATGTCTGCACTACCTGTCTGCACTGAAGAGGAAATAACACAAAATTAAAGTGAGGTATTCATGCTGGTTTCTATTCCAAATGCAGTATTTCATTCAACTCCTGTAACTGCAACTAAGCTTTTTGCTGTTGTTTAGTTCAGTAATCATTTATTACAGTTTATTACCCAAGAGGCGTTGTTTGTCTGCTTTTGGACATTATAAACCACAGCATTCAGAGCTGTTCACTTGTTGTCCTTTGTTTTGTTTTTTTATGAGGAGATGGTCTCAGTTTTCCCTCAACTGCTGCAGCCTGTGAGCTGCAGACCGGTCGTGTGCGAAATTATGTTCTTCTTTCGGCTTTTCCCTCTTCAGGGGTCGCCACAGCGAGTCATCCTCCTCCACCTCACTCTGTCCTCACTCCAACTACCTTCATGTCCTCTCTAACTGCATCCATATATCTCTGTCTTTTTCCTGGCAGCTGCATTTCTAACATCCTACCAGTATACCCACTGTCCCTCCTCTTGACATGTCCAAACCATCTCAGTCTGGCCTCCCTAACTTTATCTCCCAGTTGTTCAACCTGTGCTGTACCTCTGATGATCTCATTCCTAATCTTATCCATCCTGCGACGCCTATGCTTTCAGATAACTTTGGCGAATAAAAAGCAAATGTTTCCGCCTCTCTGGTTGACACGGGGGGAACAGAATTTCGCACAAGACACAGAAAGTCCCCATCAGCTGACAGCAGCTGTAGGGTTGCCAGATATACTATCGCGCATTTCTACGATATGGCCTGAAATACTAATTTTAATGCCAAAATAACTACGAGAATTTCCGTGCACTTTAAAAATGGGCTGCGTGCCCTCCGAACACGCAACCCTGCTCCCCGCACGTAGAGTAGTTTGGTGAGGGTTTTTTTTAATTATTTTAAAGCGTGAGTGCGGTCGTTCGTCCTTATCTGGCAACCCTGAGCAGCTGTCCCAGGTCGACTGCTGTCAAACGAGTCACTGACCGCCGACTTTCTCCACAAGCCTCTCTTTAGTTTTAACCAAGGATGTAGAGCAGAGCTTCGGTGTGGCTTTTGCAGATGGTAATGCTTCAGAGTTGTTCGGTCCATCCGGTGAGTTTATCTGTCACCACAGCATCATGATGTTAGCATGTTGGCTAGCTTAGTGTCCGCGGCTGGTAGTTAGTGAGCGAGTTGAGACGTAACGCTCCTCTGGTTTATAATTAGAGGAATAAAACGAGGAAAAACACGAGTGAATGTTTGGTGAATTGTTGAATTTACGCGGTGTTGTTAACCGTTTTATTGAAAGGCTAGCAGCAGAGCTAACAGACGGGTCTCGTGCTAACAGACGGGTCTCGTGACGCGAGCTGCTGTTGACAATCAGCTGGAGTGGCCCCTTCCCTCAGCTGCAGCTGCTTTACTCTGTTTGATGGAGTAAAACTAGCATTTACAGTTCAATTCAACAACATTTCAAATACTAAAATGCTATTTTTGACGAGCACCTCTGATCCAATTGTTTGTTAGATTCTGCTAATTTTATCCAAGTTTAAAGTATATCTAAAATATTCAGCAAATGTGAGGTATTCTTTTTAAATTGTACTCAAACTTTCAAAAATAAATATTGTACTGACATATATATATATATATATATATATATATATATATATAGTAAACCTTGTAATTTACTCACACTATGTCCATATTCTATGGTAAAGTCTGTGTCCACATTATTATCAGATTAATAATCCATATGTGCTATTCAAACTTTCATGTGAGGCTTTATGTTGAGGGATGGGACAGGCTTTTTTGTCCTTGTCAATAATTATCTTTAATTTATATATCTGTCTTAAAGCTTTTTAGATTTTGTACTTTTAATATTTCATCGTTACAAATATTTTCTAAAAACAGGACTTGTAATTTTTTGCTGTTTGTCATTAAGAGCAAAAGTAAGATTTTGCTTCTAAAACTGAGCTTTATTTAATTCTTCAGTTAGCGTCTAAAGACGTAAAATTATTTAGATGGTGAATTAACTGCAGCTCAGTCAGTTAAAATAGAAAATGACTCTTTGATGCCAATACCTTAGTAATGATTACTTGTGGAAAAATGGTGCGACTCTGAAACAGTTTAACTTCCCAAAGCATTTTTGTTCTTATTACTTTTATTCACTCTACCTGTGATGCACTTTGTTTCACATTTGAACCATAAGAAACCATGTCAGGCTAACGAACCTCCCCAAACTTTCAGGTTAAATTAAATGTGCCTCTTGATTGTAGAAACCTCTTTATCAGTGCGTAGTTGTCGAGATAACTAGACTAAAAGGAGAAATCTCTTGTCGTATAGATCTTCAGTGATCGTTACACACATTAAAACCAGTCGGTCCTCCTCACAGCAACACTCCTTCATGGATCAGTGAAGCATGATCACTGATACAGGACCTCGGAACTGACGTGTCACCTTCTGAAGTGTTTTGGCAGCTGCAGTGATTTTTGCGAAACATTTGTGTAATGTTCCTCTCGTCTCCACCTTTTACTGTATTGTTGTTCTAGTAGGAAGGAGCTGTAGTTTCACTTCTGCTTTCTCTTGAATTCACGTGAACCCACAATCTGCATACATGTCCTTTCAAAATGATCTGACTCCTGATTGTTGTCTACAGTAAAAACATGAGTTTTCTAAGTGGATCCTATTGGGTTGTGGAGAAAAGAGCCTTTTGCTCATGCTCGCAAATTTTACATTATTTGTGTTCTTTATTTAAATGATTGAATTTTCCTCTTTAGTTCTGGCAATGAGAAGAAACCTCACAAAACTGTATCGGTTTAAAAGATGTAAGCCGATCAGTTTAGGAGCTGAGGTGATATTTGTACATGGATTTATTTATTTTTTAATTGTTTGCCAGTTTTGTGGTGTGATTGTTTGTGTGTTTTAATTTTCTCGCCACCTTCCTGCAAGGAAAATGTCCCTAAGAGGACAATAAAAGTGATGATGATGATGATGAGGTACTGTCATGAAAGTCATGCAACACCTCAAGCAGAAATCCAAGTTCCTAAAATATATATTTTTTAAGTGTTCTCCTGACTTTGCTCTCATGTTTAGTTGTTGGACCAGTGAAGATGCCTCTAATACCAGTTGTCCCAGAGAACCACAGCCATGTCCTGGCCGAGTTTGACTGCCTCGACCCGCTCCTTTCTGCGCTGCGTTTAGACTCAGGCAGGCTCAAGGTAGGTCCTGCCATCACATCCGAGAAGTCTTTTTAACTTAATTCAATTAAACGATTTATTGTAGCTCGTTGACATCTTGGAATATCTGTTAAAGGTTAGTAGAAAGTTATAAAACAGCAAGACACAGTTTTTATAATCGCCCACAGCAGCTGTAAAAGAAATGTGTGTAAACGTAAAGGTAAATCCTGCTGTAGCACTAGATGATAGTTGTTCTGAATGTGTTTCAGTGTACCTGTCTAGCCGTGTCAAGGAAGTGGCTTGCTCTGGGAACATCAGCTGGCGGGTTGCATCTGATTCAGAAAGAAGGCTGGAAGCAGAGGCTCATCCTCACCCACAAGGTGAGACTGAGATCCTGCAAGAACCGTTGAGCTGCTCATAAATTGTGTGACTGCACGTTAAATGAGTTGCAGTTTGTGTGTAGCTTATTTCTGTGGGAACTTTTGAATGCTTCACTTGAAGTGGTCTGTTTGTTTTAGGAGGGATCTATCACTCAGGTGGCATGTTGCCCACACGATGAGGATTTTGTTGCAGTTGCCACAAGGTCAAAATTTGTCCATAAAATTAAACAAAACTGTTGTTTTTATGAATAAAATATTCACCAACTAGTATTTGTTTCTCTCTTATCTGTGTGTTTATCTTTGTTCGCGGTGGTCGGTGCTCATCCAGTCAGGGTCTGGTGGTGGTGTGGGAGCTGCAGCTGGAGCGGCGCGGTCGTCCAGAACGTGTCAGCCTCTCCTGGGAGCACAGAGGTCACAACATCACTTCACTCTGCTGGGACTCCAGCGCACTCAGAGTTTTTGTTGGGGACTCTGCAGGAAAAGTGTCTTATCTGCGGGCAGGATCCTCAAAACTGGGAAAGGTAGTAGCTGTGAGGAAACTACTGTATTTTCTGCCGTACATGTTGCATCGCCATATAAGTCACTACAGTCCAAATAGGTCTAATAAAGTGGAAAAAAAAACATAAATACGTCACTTCGCTGTATAAGTCGCATCTATTATGCATCACTGCTGACGCATCGCGTTACGCATCACCATAGACAACCCAGAAACGTGGGCCGGTGTTGTGCCAAAAATCAATTGGCAGCCAAATGGCGGCTGCAGGAGCATGCATGGGAGGACTTTAACAAGAATTTAACAAGATTAACACTTAAAAACAATTATTTCTTTGCTTGAAATTATAGTAAAGGTGTGTCTAAGTTGAACTTTTCCTTAATAAATGCACTTTAAAGGTCAAATCAGCTGCATTTCACCTGGGCGGTGCGGCGAAATGCAGCTGATTTGACGTTTGCTCCAGGAGTTCTGGAGCGAGATGAAGGTGGCTTTGTATGGCAAGCCAAGTGTCTCATTAATAGCCACTTTTACCTATTAATGAGACACTTGGCTTGCCAGGTTAGTCGAGGGTCCTCTAGTGGCTGAAAATGGAAGTGTTCAATATTTTCCATGTCAGAATGAATGAAATTGTCAGATCTCAGCCAAAAATTGGTTATAAATATGGGAAAAAACATAAATACATCGCTTTGCTGTATAAGTCGAAGGATGTGCTAATTTATGCAAAAAACTGCGACTTACACGCCGGAAAATACGGTAAATGTGTAATTTGACACAATGTGATTATTTTAACAATGTGTCTTGTTTCTAGGGGTCAGCGTTTGTGATCTTCCCCGTTCAGACGGTCACAACTGTTGACTCCAGTGTTGTCCAGCTGGGGTATCAAGATGGCCGCCTGCTTGTGTCTTCTCTGAGTCGCTGCTACCTCTGCGACACCGAGAAGTGAGTAGCAATGAGATCTGGAGTGGTTGTGTCTGTAATAATGCTCGGGTCTATTTACCAGAAAGCAAATATTGTCCCAACTTAGATTTACTGTAATAAGTTAACTCCATTTAAGCACGATGATATTCCTTGAAGGAATGCAAATCACCCACCACCTTTCCATTCATTTTTATTTTTATTACCATTTATTTTTATTACCATCATTTTATGTTGAGAAATGACAGTGTTGTGGCCATTTTGATCAAAATTTAAAAATAACATTATGGGCAGTTTCGTGTAATAATGCAAGATCTAACACTCAGAGTATGTGTTGTGAATGACCCTTAGCTACTACAGTAGCCCCTTGTTTACTGCAGGGGATCTGTACCCTGAAGACCCGCGATAAGAGCAAAACCTTGAAGTAGGAATAGTATTACAAGTAGTAAGTAGCAGTTTATTTTTATATAGAGAGCACAGCATGTCATGATTTCAGCTCCCTGCCTCTTCTGCTTTTTGCCACCTGCAAGTGTTCTTGGCCACGCCCACTTCTTGTTCTGCACAGAGAACAGCTGATCAGCTGCAGGAGGAAGTTTATCCTGCAGCTCTGGGCTGCACAAATGTGCAGTAGGTGCTAAATAATTTAAAATAATTTATTTTAAATAAAAATTCCATGCCAATCGTGTGGCTCATCAGTCAATTTTGTGTCACGTCCAATCTTATTTTGAAAAACCGCGATAGTCAGTCCACGATAAACGAACTGTGAAGTAGCGAGGGACTACTGTACTACATAAAAGTTTAGCTCAGTATCTGTCGTCTGAGCGTCGTCTTCTTTCTCTGCTTGGCATTCATCGTGGACAGCAAAGTAAGAATTTCATTGTTTGGGGAAATGTGTTCAGTTGTTCCTTGACATTAAACACTTTGAATCCTTGAATTCTTCCTCCACCCACTCTGCGCTAATTTTTCATCTCTTTAAGGCGCCTGATTCAGCCTCTTGGTCATGTGATCATTTGACCTACAAACTAAAGCTTATTTTTCTTTTTATAAAAATATGAAATCTAATAAACTATAATAAGTTGCTAAACATCTGACGTGTGTCTATACACAATAATAATAATAAAAAATAAATAACAAGCACAGTGAGACATGAGCTGCCTCCAATGTTGCTATGGAAACATGAAAACAAACTCTCTGCCGTAGTCATTAAAGATTTGTAATGTGCTCCTGCTGCAGGTGAATAATGCTCAGACTATCCTTCAATACATTCCAAGTCAATTTTGTCCCCGGGGACGTCGTCTTCACTGAGGTGGACATGGACAAAAGTTTTGGAGGTGGCCATTGTTTGTGCCGTCTGGCATATTGTTTACCTGACATCCAGGACTTTTGGGGGATTTCCTGAATACTTGTGACATCATCCCTCATCAATGTACATCCTATGATTACTTTAATTCATCCAGTGGATAATGAGATGTTTTATTAACAGATACACACACACACACACACACAGGCAAAACCATTGTTGTCTCCCTTCACCTTTGGGCGGTGGCTGATACATGAATTTCATGTAACTTCTTTTGTAAAAATAGGAATATAAAACGACTAGCCCTTTATAACTCTTATATCTCTACAGCGATGGGCCACAAAGAAAAGTCTCAACATGCTTCTTCTACCAGCTCACGTTAACTCACTGCTGCGTCGTTTTAAACGACTTTAACACTTTTTTTTCCGAATTATCCAGTTTCTACATGAAGTAGCTCCATATTCTCTCTCTAATGAGTATTTGGTACTATAATGCCTTTACTTGTTTTAATTTTATTATTTCAGGAACAGGAAAAATGCAAAGTGTAAATTAACTGTAGCTTCATCACTTGTTAAACAGATACATTATAAATCAGGAAGAGGGGACTGCTCATTACAGGAAAAAAGCTCTCAGTACTTCCACTCGTTCTTTTTGACTGGAATTGAAATATTTATCTGGAAACGAAACATTAAAATGTGTGTGAAATTCTCATTTACATACTGAGACCATTTTGACAGTCAGAAAAATAAAACTTAAGTGCAGGTGCTAATGTATGTTTTGTAATTGTAGTCACTTGTGCAAAATGTGTAGTCGTGTTTATAACTGTACCAACATCAAGCTGCTGCAGACTACCGGTAGATTTATTATGCTACACTTGATCTATTACTTGGACATTTATTGGTGATAAATTTATTCAAAAGCCAAAGCAGTTTTTAAAAATGATTTTTTTAAATATTGTATTTAACATCAGAAAGCTGAAAGTTTGTCTATTTTTCTTTTTCTTATAAAAGTGATCAAATAATTCTGCAGGCTTCATGGTTCTTCTGTTTGTCTACTTTCAGGGAGAAATTCTGGCGTGTTGGAAGTAAAGAGCGCGACGGGGAATACGGAGCCTGCTTTTTCCCTCAGAGCAAGGGGTTATTGGGGGGTCAGCCCCCACTGCTTTACTGCGCTCGGCCAGGGTCTCGAATATGGGAGGCTAGTTTTAACGGCGAGGTTCTGAGCACTCACCAGTTCAAACAACTGCTGGCATGTCCCCCACTACCTCTCATCACATTCAGGTAAGCTGTGGTGTCACCTAATCCCATCGTATAAAGCACCAAGACTCATAATGAGTAATTTCTTTCTGCAGAAACGAGCCAAATTACAATCCAGCACAGAGGAGTCCTCAGTCACTCGCCTTTTCCAAACTGCTTTATTTGGGGTAAAACTTGAAAACTTTTTAATCTGATTCGATCTGAAATGTCACTCTGAACATGATGGACAGCTGTCTAAATCCAGATCTCATGTATCAACGCAGAGATCAAAACCTGCTGACTTGGTCCGATTCAGCCATTTATATCTTTACACCTCAGAATGGGCAAGTTCTGCTGTGGACTGAAGTTAAAGGTGAGAATGTTCTGCCTAATCTCCAGTAGCAACCTTCATAACGAACATATTCATAACGATCAACGTTACCTTTATACCCCACAGTTTCATTAAAAAACAGAGAATCTTTGATAATTCAGTCATATCTTCACGTTTCAGATTTAATAAGTTTATTATCTTGTTTTGCAGACTTGGCTGATGTCGCAGTCCACCGCGGTGAGCTGTTCTGCCTCCATGGCAGTGGACGTCTGTCCCACCTCTCCTTGTTATCTGCGGAGCGTTGCGTTGAGCGTCTGCTGCGGCGGGAGTCTTGGACTCTAGCTGTCACCGTCTGCTGCATGTTCCAGCACGCCATCACCACCAGCAGGGTAAGAAGGCAGCTGACTTCATCTTTGTGCACAGTCATGCATTGTTTTAGACAGCTTGTTTGTCAAGATATAATGTGCTCTTAAATATATATATTATAAATGTCATCAATATGAAAATGAGTTATTTTCAGATTGCAGTGATTTACTGATATTTACAGTAAAAATCCTAAAGTGTTTATCTCAAAGTGCATCAAACATTTAACAGGAGTCTCGTGAGGTTTGAATTAAAGGATGTTTCCTGTGTAATTCAGGCCAGGAAGTCCGTTCCTATCGACCGTCTCGAACACCTGAAGTCTCAGCTCGGCTCCAGCCCAAACTCTGAGCTGACCAGCCAGCTGGAGGAAGTGATCGCAAAGCTGGAGCCACTGGACTCTGCGTCCAGCAGCCGGAGAAGCAGCATCTCCTCACACGTAAGAAGGAAATGTGTTTTATAAATGGAGGATTTACAAAATAAGTTTTTCAGATCAACAGAGACAAGTAGATGATAGAAATTGATTTTATTTTTGCTTTGTGCTTGTTTTATTTTGGTTGGTCTTTAATTAAATAGTGACAAAGTTGTTCGCTTTAAGCAAAACATATCACACTGCAACTTCTGTTTCTTCAGGGTTCAGCTTGTGAATTTGTTTACATCAAAATAATACTTTATATGTCTAAAATGCAGATAAAGAAACCATAAAACATTAATTTTATTTAAAAAAATGTATTAAGTAAATGATTAGATGATGAACAGCTCTGTTAGTGTCATTCTGGACACGCATGTAAGGAATGAGTAAAATGATGACGTTGTATGTCCTTATCTAGGAGAGTTTCAACGTCCTGGACTGTGGAATCTATCGAGTGATCAGCCGCAGAGGAAGTCAGTCCGATGAGGAGACGAACTCCCTCATCAATCAGTCCACGTCGGAGGAGGAGAGACTCAAAGAGTTCAGCTTTGTGCAGGAGGATGATCAGGTGGATCCTGGTGAGACAACAAAGTTATTCCTCGCTTTGTCATCGCCACGTACAAAATGTTACGTTTGTTTTATTTATTTATTCAAACTGGGTTTAGTTTTTTTAATTGTCAAGGCATTTTTTAATACTAAGGAGCTTGTTTATGACATTAAATGTAAAGGATTTATTTCTGCAACTATTTTAAATGACAAATATATTTTTGTATAGATAAATGTGAAGTTCCTCCACCTGAATTTAGGCACCATTTGTTGCACAAAAATAAAAAAACCTGCATCCTGCAGTCAGAATGTTGAGATCGGAACGTTTTTAATCACTCCCATTAAAAAAAAAAAATTTTTAATGAATATAAATACATTTTTTAATACATTTCATCTACAAATACTAAAAATCTGTCTGTCCTTTTTCTGTATTTTCTCGTTACTGTTCTGGTTTTCACTTTCTGTGAACCTGCCTGATGTGTTGGTTTAAAGCAGGTCTGAACTTCCTTCCTGCCCCAGAGTTCAGTGGTAAAAAAGAGTGAAGTTATTTTCAGTTTAACTCTTGAAAATGGCATAAAATAATTAAAAAAATAAAAAACTTCAATGGTAACGTTTTTAGCTATTCTAAATGACTGATGATGATTCAACTCTTTTACCCTCTCTTTTGTGAATATAAAACTTTAAATCAAATGTGCTGCTTTGCTGCTGAACCACTGGATTTGCTTCAAAAAGATGAACAATAACTCCGATAACTGAGCTGCTTCACTAAAACAGCCTTCACAAGTTGTTGACAGACTTTCCTTTCTCCTCCATTTGCATCATTTGTCATCGTTGTTGGTTTTGTTTCGTGCAACATTTGATTTACAGTCACATCACATTCTACAGGCTTGCCTTGCTTTTGCATTCTGTCCACGGCCTCTCGTCGCCACCTCCTCCACTCCATCCATCTGTGTTTTTCCTCCCACTCCTGCCCCTCATTTTCACTCAGATCCACAGAGCAGCGAGCGCACGGAGGCTGACCGATCTGATCAAGGCATGCAGTTCCACCTCCCGCTCTCCTTCCGCCCCAAACCCCCTCGCATTGCCCTGCAGGCCGTCAAAGACAGGTGAATGAATGGACACTTCTCGTCACGTAGCCCCATGGCTAAAGGTGTACACAACATTCTTTGTGTATTTTTTGTGTGCGGATTGAAACCAAAGTGCAGCTGTGCTCTGAAGTGACTCACTTCCCTTTTCCACTAAAACCTACATCTCGTTTGCATCGATCAGTCGTCCTGTTTTGTCACTGAACATTCATTTGTCTTGCACACGAGTGTCACGGCTGTTCTGTTGTTAAATTGTAAAAACAGCTAAACCAAACGTCACTGGAGTTATTCGATTGTTTTTCGTTCTTTCTGTCCGTCAGTGTTTCCAGCTTCGTCAAGAAGACGACAGAAAAGATCAACACGCTCCAGATGAACTCTGAGCTCCGTCAGCGGCCTGAATACAAGGAGACTGGACAGGCCGACACAATCTCCAGCACAACTTCCTTCTCGGAGGACATGGAGAACGAGTGAGTACAGAGCTTTAAATAAAAGTTGGCTAAAACTGAGAGTAAATCCATATGTTGTGACCGTAGCTATAAATGACGAGAAGTATTTTTTACAAACATTTTTTGATGAATACTTTACTCAAAGTGGGCGAGATACTACCAGATTATAATTTATTCTTCACAGACTTTGTAATGAAGCATCTAACGCAGAGGCTGACATGCAAGAACTTCGGACAGCGACGGAGAAAGCTGTGTAAGAATCCTAGAGTTATGTTTTTGCTCTAAATGCCGTGCTGTTATTTAGACGTTAATGTTTTTCTAACATCAGCTCACAGATACGAGATCCTTTGGTGCTACTTGATCCAGATTGCCTCCGAGAAGCTCTGCAGGAGTGGTTGCCGATTCTGGAGCGAGTCCTTGGACCTGAGGCGGCAGATTCAAACCTGGATGGATCAGGAGAGGACCGATGGGAGCGGGATTATCTGAACCCCTGCGCAGAGCAACAAGGAGAATCCACAGGGATTGTTGCAGAAGAGACTAAAGAGCCTCCCCAACTTGGAGCTGAAGCTGAGAACCAGCCGACATCAGACTCTGCCGAACGCTTTTCATCGTGCAGGAGTTCTCCAGAGCCTGTCCGAGTGGTGTCTCCTGAAGCCGTACCATCAGATCTGTCAGCTGACCTCACCGAGCTGGCCACCCTCTACACGGAGCTGAGCTGCTTCAGAAACCAGAACGAGGCGCTCGGATGCTTAACTTTCCTGCGACGCTACTTCTTTCTGCTGGACCAGGAGCGCGTGAGGAGGATGTGTCTGCTGTGTTATCAGGAGCAGCCTGAGATGATGAGCTCCTTCACTGAGGCCATGCTCGGTCAGAAACCTCTCTAATCCCTAATCCCGCTATAAATTTACACCTTCAATCTTTACATATTTAATTGATTTGGGTAATTTAAGGTTTAGATTATAAAACACGCAGTTAAGCTGAAATTTGATGCGTCTGCCTCCTCAGTTATGTTCGTTTGACAACTCAAGTTTTGTTCTTTACAGAGCTCACTCAGTCCAGTAAAGTGGTGGAGATTATTCAGAAAGGCGATTTGCTAAAATCTCTGCGGAGTCTGAGGGAACTCCAGGCCTGGGGGGCACCTCATCTTCTTGCTCACCTGCACAGGTCAGCACATGGATTTCTTTCGTCATCCGATGTAGTTCATTTGGTTATGGTTTGATTATAAAACAAGGAAAGTGCTTTCAGAGTAAATGCTGGACAAGTGTTTTAAGAACGATCTGATCTTTTAAGATATTTGTGTAAATTACAAAAAGCAGAGTTTTTGTTTTTTCTAAATTAGTGTTTCCTGTTTGGGTGTTATGTGGACATTTAAGCTACAACACAAACGTCTTTTTAGTGATGTGCTGTCTGAAACCAAACATTAATGCTGGATCATGTAAAGCACGGGTGTCAAACTCACAAAAATGGGCCAAAAATAAAAAAAAAATTCAAACTAAGGGCCAGTTTCATAATCTACATTAACTCAAGTTACACACCCAACATCTTTTCTTGGTTGCAGGTTCCTCAAAAATGAGTTCGATTGGTCTCATTTGTTGTTCTCTGTTGCACTTTTGACATAATCAAAGATTACTGAAACAATTAAAGTGAAAAAAGTATTTTACGGTTAACATATCACCTTGGGGCCAGATAAGATGTCAACGAGGGCCACATTTGGCCCCCGGGCCTTGAATTTGACATGTGATTTAAAGATTTGTCTGTTATAATCCAGGCTGTACGAGAAGCACGGAGAGGCGGCTGTACGCTCGTTCTCCCAGTTCTATCCAACAATCACTCCTGCTGATGTGATGACGATGGCTCAGCAAAGCCACTTCCTGCCATACCTGGATAATCTGGTCCAATCAAGAACCGAGGAGCACAGGTACATCATCAGACTCGATATGTGAAAACCTCAAAGATACTGACCTTCTCTTTGTTATTGAACTCATAGTGATGTTTGTTTTCTGTCAGGCTGTCATTTCTTCAGTCCCTTCTTGAACCTGAATCACTGAAGCATGATTGGCTGGAGCTGGCACTCACTCATGATGCTCCTCAACGCTGTGATACCATGACTCCTGATGGACAGCCCAGGTGTTATTCTGCAGTGTGAAACATGCCAAATAGTCTTTTTATCATTATCGGTGTGTGCAGTGAGAGTTAACTGGAAGAATGCATGTAACTGTAAATGTGTGTGTCCTCCTGCAGGTGGCATTCACACTGCTTCAGCTGGGGTTACGGTCGTCTTTTGTCTTTGCTGACTCGTCTTCCTGCAGACCTTTCATCTAAGGAGAAGATGGCTGAGACCTGTCGCAGTCACGGGTATTTTTCATGTTTGTTGGAGAAAAGGAGCCATTTTTTATTGTTGACGCAGACATTAATCTGTTTCCTGTGTTTAATGTGTGTGCAGGTACTGGACAGGCTACCTCTACCTCTGCAAGGAGCTGCAGCGTCGCACTGAAGTGTTTTCCACCATCTGCCAGCTGGACGACATCAGCCTGCTGGAAGAACCTGATGGTAAAACTTCCCACAAAAAGATTAAAGATGGTTTTAAAATCTATAGTTTTAAGGGAGCTTGTGTCCTAAAATGGGCAGCGGGACGGCTTAGTGGTTACTGCTGCCTCACTGCAGGAAGGTCCTGGGTTTGAGCCCTGCGTCGGTCTTTTTGTGTGGAGTTTGCATGTTCTCCTCGTGTTTCTCCAGGTACTCTGGTTTGCTCCCACAGTCCAAAACATGCATGTTAGGCTGCTTGCAGGCCCAGGCCTCCCTTGCAAGCAAGATCTGTGATCTCAATGGGTTCACCTGGTTAAAATAATTTATTTAAAAAAATATTTTGATTTTTTTTTTTAAATGCCTTTAAGCTAAAAGCTGTAAACTAAACTACTAAACATAAAAAAAAGTTCCACGTCACAGATTTACATCAGGTACAACAGGAACTGTCCAGCAGACAGAATAGACAAATTAACACACACATCAGATTAACAAATAAAATCTGAATCTTAATCCTTTCAAAGTGGTCTTTTTTATTTTTTAAGAAAATTGTCTTCTTATTATTTTTAGAAAACTGAAACTAAAGAATCCATGATCAACCGTTGTTGAGTGGAAACACTTGTTGCTATAACCATAGCTGCAAATTAGTCAACACTATTAAAAATAACCTTTGTAATGTTGCTGTAATGGAAATCTAAAAAAAAGAATAATTCATAACTTACATTTTTAGGAACCATTTAAATAGCTACATGATACAAGTCTTAATGACTCAGTCACACATTTCTATTCTACTCTTTTATTTATTTATTTTGCATCAAGCACATTTTCTACAAAATTAAAAATCTATACGTTTTTAGAAAAAAGTATTAAGGATTTTTTTTTTTCTTGGCACAAAATATTTAAACAAAAATAAAAATACTTTTTTTTCTGGAAGACTTGGAAAATATCGATCAGCTGATTTTAAACTGTCTTTATAGATAAATCTACACTTTTTGTCTTTAACCTGAACCACCGCTGTTATTATCATATAAAATGCATTTCTTCAGTCAAATCACACAAAATAAGCTTTCTGTCTGTACGTCACAGTCACACCTGCACATAAAGCTGACAGTTCCTGTTAGTTAAAAGTTTCAGTGTTCATGTCTCTAACAGCCGAGATGAGCTGGATAAACGTTATACCTTATTATTGTTTTTCTTTTGTGACGTAACTGAATAAACTTCTTGTGAATAACCCACATAAAGGTCTGACTGAGGTGTGTTCATGTGTGAATAATGAAATGGTTCAGGTCACTGATTTTATTTGTGCTGTTCTGTTTGCAGCTTGTTTATGTAGGCTTCGTGTTTATTTCCTTGTTCAGGAGTTAAGTTAGATTGATCTGCGAGCTTCCAGATGTGCTCTGACTCTGTTATGTTCCAGGTGTTGAGCCTCAGACCTTGGACGAGTGGAAGCTCCTGATCCAGCTGTCTCAGCAGCGCAGCAGTGCGGCAGAATCGCAGCAGGTCGCCAACGTGAACGGGAGCAGCTGGTCCAACGGCTCCGCAGACTGCGAGGGAAAGATCAGCCCGGAGAGTCTGACCCTCATGTTGGCTCGGACAGCCGGGCCGGAGCGCGCGCTCAAGGTGCTGGAGGAGTGCGGGGTGCAGCCGGTCTTTTCAGCTCACTCTGAACTGGTGTGTGAACTGCTGAGAGTCGCTGAGAAGAGACAGAGGTGGGTCAGCCTGTCTGTAACGCAGCGATCACACTTTTAGAAAAACACAAGAATGTGCTCTTCAATGTGAACAGTATCACACTAACAAACAAAATGTGGTGTTTTGATCTTGGGATATTCTGGAGAATAAACTTGCTGTTCATGTTATCTGCATATACTGTCAAAAGACTGGAAAAAATACTTAATTTGATATACCGTATTTTCTGGACTATAAATCACTCCAGAGTATAGGCCACATCAGAAAAAAAATGCCTCAAAGAGGAAAAAACAATATATAAGTTGCTTCAGAGTATAAGAATCAGAATAAGCTTTATTTTTATTGCATCAAGATACAACAAGAACATGTCTGTACAGTCGTCCAAAAGATGGACTGAGCGCACGAAGCTGCTGCCAGAAGCACAGCTTTCTTATTCTTTTCAGAATACATTTTTTAGATAGAAAAAGGTACCAAGCCATGAGGAGAGGATAGTGGCACGACAAAAAAGATCTCTTCACACCTTGTCCTGACGGGACATGATTTAAGACATGAAAACTCTGCCAGCAGCACATTTATGAACATGTTACATATTTATTCATGACGAGGTGGTCCATGAAGCACTAAACAGATAGTCCATTGTCCTGACAAGATTATGGTCAACCGGTACAGTTCTGATAAGTCTCCGCAGAAGTTTAGGGGCGGGGGGGGTGCGATAGACAAAGCTTTTCCTTAGTTTACACATTTCTCAGGAGAAATTAAGTCGGCCTGTTTTGAGGCCAACCAGAGAGTCAGATTCAGATAAACCACAATTGTTGCTTTATTCAGGCAGACTTTTTTTCTTGTCAGCCTTCGAGTCTGTATTGATACTTCCAAGGTCTGAAATGGCCAGATTAGTGTGCATTCTACTGGTCCGTGCTTACGAGCCTCTTCAAGGTCGTTTTCATCCTGACGAGTCCCAAAAGCCGCAGGTGACCTGCGATTCAAATCACTTCCATCTTACAGTTTAGCTCGTAAATCAGCTGATTTTGAGTCCTCCCAGCACAAACCAAAACATAGGCAACAGCCTGACGAGGTCCAAATTAGCTGCGGCCATCTTCTTTGTATGTTGATAAACCAGGATCCAGACTATTCCAAACTGGAAACCTGTTATCATAATTCCAATTATATGCAATTCTAACGTCCTCGATCAACAGCAGAGGTAGACGCATCACCTCCAGAGATATATCCAGCTGCATGTGTGTCATCCGAGCAGATGAGGGTCCTCCAGGACCCTGTTGCTTTGTTGAAAAGATTTTGTCATTTGCATCGAAAGTCCAGTTGATCAGATCCAAAACGGTAGTTTTCATTTTGGAAGATATGTATAAAAAAATAAAAATAGGAGCTGCTCTGATACACAGACAGAGCAAAAAATCAGGAGGAGAACAGGGAGCAGGAAGGAACGCGTGCGCCTCGTTAGAGAGCCAGTGGGATAAGTCGTATTTATTTAGAAGTGTATTTCACAAAGTGCAAGAACAGACATTTAATCTGAAATAACAATAACACACAGAACATACTTTACATACTCGGGTGTCACTTCTGAACAACTCTGCCCTTTGGGGGCGTTTTACTTGTGTTCAGTTTAATTCAGTTCTCTCTAATTGAATGTTTGGGGGGTTAGCAGTACAGGAACAACATATATTTATCAAAAGCTTAGAGGGCCCTCTCGTGGCTGCAAATGGTAATGTTTACTCTTTGGTTCATGTCAGTATGAATGAACGTTTAACGCATCAGTCAAAAATTGCGTCATGAATAAGGAAAAAAATGTAAATAAGTCGCTTCAGACTATAAGTTGCAGGACTGGCCAAACTATGAAAAAAAAAAGTGTGATTTATAACCCAGAAAATATGGTAATACGTTTAGTTGGGCTGGTGAAAACGGTAAATAAAAGCATGTTAAGATTTCCCATTGACTGTTATGACGATTTATTATTTCTTATTTTTGAAGATCTCTGTAATTAAAAATATTGTTTTTGTTTTTCAGGGCAATGATCCAGACGATGCTTGAACGTTGTGATCGCTTCCTCTGGTCTCAGCACGCCTAACGCCCGATCAGAGTATTGATCATTGCAGTCACACTTTATGTGACCTGATTACAACACTGATACCCATCCAGCTTAAAATACTTTTTTAAACCAGAACAGTGTTTTCTGTTTCATTCCACTAACTTGTGAATGTTGTGAACGTTCAGGCGTGTGCTGCTGTTGGATCCGTGTCTCTGCGTGCACAAGCACTAACATGTCTCATGTCTTATTGTTGTGACAGACCAAAACAATCAACAGATCTTCCTGCTTTGGAGGAACTTAACTTGAAATAATTAATGTGCAATGCTCTAACCAGGTATTATTGTGTAAATAAAGTTTGTCAATTTATTTGATTGTTTTTGTTTGATTAGTTCTTTTCACATGAGTATGTAATTGTTGGTGTTGTAATAGAAACGAGCCAAGTACACAGTCACCTAAAGAAATGTACACAGCTGGAAAGCATTATTTATCCTGACCTACTTTTTTGTTTTTGAGGCCAAAGGACGATGAGAAGAATATATTAGCAGAAATAGAAGTAATTAAATGAAAAGGAGGTCAGGGGAGCTGTTGCGCACCTGGAGCATCAAAGAGGAGCGTTTGGGCAGGGGGAAGTCCTGGCATTGGATCTTAAATGGCTCAGACTGGATATTCTAACAGTATTCTTCTGCTGCCCTCATCTTCCACCTGTCATTGGCACAGAACTAGTCAGAATAACTTGGCCTGAAGCAGACACACCTGTACTGTGTCAGGGTGATGTGAGGTGAACCTGTGTGAAATAAAGTCTTTCTTTTTAAAGGTCTCAGCTGCCTCTGAGTCATGCAGTCTGGAGAGAATATGTCTAATTATTGAATTAATTTGAAATGTTGGTTTAACAGAGGGGGGGGGGGGGGGGTCATCAAAGCCAAGAAGACAAGATTTGAAATGTAATTAGGTTGAGGCAGGGAGTCAAGTGTTTGATGTTGCCTCGCTGTCATCAGAAGGACCGATAAGAGGATTCTGCACATACCTGCTGGCCTCGGTGCCACCCTGACGCTTGGTGCTGCATACTTAACGCCTGCTGCGCCTCGGGGCGAGTCCACCGGAGCTCTGCTGGTAGATGCTGTGAGCGTCACAAAGATTCAGGATGGACACAACGCCAGCGGTGAGTTGCTGCTTTGTCTGGATTTAATACAAAACTGTTTTCCAAACGTTCACTCAGATGGGTCGTTTCAGGTGTCCGCAGCTCTGGCTGCATTTGCTCTTGTGACGCTCTTGTTTCCAGAGCATGCATTCATGACCAGAGGATTCAACGAGACTGGTAGGATTCATTTTAAAACATTTACTCAAGGAGTCATGGAAGTACTGGATTGCATCCTGTTTTATCATAATCCGTTGTAGAGCGGATCCCAATGTGCTGCTCTGACTGGCTCTCTGTTCTCAGGAGCTGTGTACCTGGGCTCGGTGTATGTCGGCGAGGCTCTTCAGAGAGCCATGGAGCTGACTGATGCTGCTTACGCTCACAGTGAAAGGTAAAGACTCCTAATCATGGCGCTGAAACTTCTCACAGCTGGCTGACTGCACACCTCTGGGACAGCTCCGTAAAGATAAACGGCCTTCCACGTTTCCAGAGTGAAGAAGTCCTTGTCTGAAGGTGCCCTGAAGCCCAGTGACCTGCTGGCCCAGTTCAAACAGATTGAAACCAGTACCAGGGTTCAGATACGGGCTGCTGAGCTGCTGGACAACACAGTGGAGCTGATCAGAGAGATGGTCTACACCCACACCATGACGCAGCCCGATCCTCACGGTACACAACAGCAGCACAGTTTAGCTTTAAAATAAATGTTCAATATGTCACACTGCCTTCCAGCTTTTCAGTTTAATTCATGTTTGACTGGTCTTTAAACAAATCTGTGAAATGAGAAGTTTAGCAGATTCAACGTGATGTTCTTTCTGCTCACTCGGGATTATTTTGCGTTTAAACAGCAGGAAAAGCAATCAAACTAGACCTAATGGAGGTTTCAGGGGTTCATAAAGTCTATAAAGAAGTTTAAGACCTAAAGCTAAGTGAACATGTCTGATGTCTCTCATGTGATATACAGTGTGTCACTTGGTTTGGACTCCTCTGACTGTCTGTGCCTCAGAGCTGCTTAGTGAAGGAGACGTGGAGAAGCTGCTGCAGGTGACGGGTTGCTCCACGGAGCTGCAGACACCCGGCTGTCTGTCAGACTGTTTATCTGAGCGCTACAGATCCATCACAGGCGAGTGCAACAACAGGTCAGAGCTGGTCTGCCAACGTCTGTCTCACAGTCTGTTGTTTTGGTCGAGTAACTTTACTGTGTGCTCTCTTCTGTGCAGACAACATCCAAGATGGGGGGCTGCAGACATCCCGTACTCCCGTTGGCTGCCTCCAGAGTATGAGGATGTGTGGGGGCTGCCCAGAGGCTGGGAGCCTGAACACACCTACAACAACATCAGCCTGCCTCCAGTAAGGTCTCTGCTGCAGCTCTCTGTCCTTTCAGCTGGTGTGAGCTCCACCAACCTTCAGCTTGTTTGTTGTTCAGGTCAGGCTCGTCTCACAGGAAGTGCTGTTCACCCACAACGACAGAATCTCCGAGGACTCCACTCTGTCTCACATGCTGGTGGACTGGGGTCAGTGGATAGACCACGACTTGGCGCTGACCCCTCAGAGCCCCAGTACAGCCTCCTTTAAGACGGGGGCGGACTGCAGCCACAGCTGCAGCCGGGACTCTCCCTGCTTTCCCATTCAGGTGCACTTCCTCCACGGTTTCAGAATTCAAATGCTTAAAGCAGCATTCTGGGTTTTTATTTATAATTTTAATTTATATTCCAAGTAAAGCAGCAAACTTTACTTGAAAACGTTTTCAAACTATATTTGTGTAAAAATAATAAATGTCCAGGGGTTGTAGATTGGTTTAGAGGTGGATGCTGACATCAGGGTTTGCACGAGGTGGCATTTTGTCTGTCTACATGAGCATGCAAGGATGGTGTTGCAAGACGGTCACTCTGGAACTCGTTCCAACAAAAATCAAATAAAATTTGTGGGCTCCTTAAACACTGAGGGCACAAGGCTACAATGATTTAAAAAAAAAAAAGTCTTCACAGAAAGTGTTTCCATGTGGACGGCCCCTAACCCCGACAGACTGAAGAGCTACCGGCTAGTCGGAGAAAGACTGAGTTGGACTGGTTACCAGACAAGATCACAAAAAGAATAAAAAAATTGCACTCTTTAATAAAAATTGATCAGAATTCTCTAAAATGGTTTAATCAAATTATTAATTTTAAGGCAAAGAACATCAAAACTTGTTCACTTTTTATTTAATATTTATTTAAAACAACAACACATCTACACTGTAATCTATGGTTATGAACAATGATTATCTTACCTGTTGGAGATAACTCAACAGCTTCTTCTTGTGAAAATAGAATTCTGCTTTACACAAAAACACTGAACTGTTATAATAGCAGATCAATGATATTAAAAATTGTCAGATGAATTTAATTTTCATGTTTTTAATTAAGTTTGAATGCTGCAGGTTGGATGTTTGTGGTTCTTGAAAGGTAAAAATGAAACAATTTTCAGAAAGTTAGACTTCATCCCTCCTGAACTGTTAACTCTGTCTGTAAAATTGTTTGTTTCCAGCAGCAGAGTTGTTAAATGTTAAACTTTCCCCTCCAGATCCCACGATCTGATCCTCGTAGTGGTGTCCAGAGCTGCATGCCTTTCTTCCGCTCTGCTCCCAGCTGCGGAGCAGGAGTTCTCCCCCATCTCCACCGGGAGCAGCTCAACGCCATCACCTCCTTTGTAGATGCCAGCATGGTGTACGGCAGCTCCCCCAGCCTGGCCTCCTCTCTCAGGAACCGCTCCTCTCCTCTGGGCTCCATGGCCCTCAACTCCCTGTACCGTGATGGGGAGCTGGCCTACATGCCTTTCCTGCCCCGCCGGCAGGCTCACCTAGATCCCTGTGGTCCCCGTGACCCCGCCTCCTCGAGAGGATCAAACCAGTCTACGCACCCAGAGAACTCCACATCATGTTTTCACGCTGGTGAGTGGGTGAATGTGGTGACTCCTCCTCTTTCTGCAGCTTTTTAGAGTGGGTTATGCTCCGCAGGCGACTCGAGAGTCAACGAACATCTGGGGCTGATCGCGCTGCACACGCTCTTTCTGAGGGAGCACAACCGGCTGGTTCAAGAGCTGCACCAGCTCAACCCCCACTGGAGCCCCGACACCCTCTATCAGGAAGCTCGCAAGATCATAGGAGCCGTCCACCAGGTGTCTGCAGCCGTTTCAGTTGAACACCCGGTCACATCTTGACTGATTTATTTAATCTCACGTTTTTTATTTTAAAGATCCTAACGTGGGAGCACTACCTGCCACGGGTTCTTGGTGAGAGCACCATGTCCGGTCTGATGCCGCCCTACCAGGGCTATGATCCAAACGTTGACCCGAGCATCGCCAACGTGTTTGCGACTGCTGCGTTTCGCTTTGCTCACGTTACCGTGCAGCCCGTAGTGAACAGGCTGGGGCCACAATACACCTTCAACTCCAAGTACCCCCCGCTGCCGCTGCACCACTCACTGTTCGCCTCCTGGAGGGTTGTGCAGGAAGGTAATCCAAAACTAACGCCGACTTTTCTGGATCTGGTTTGATCTTCTCCTGGTGGTTTATTATTTTTAAGGTGGCATTGACCCGGTGCTGCGTGGCCTGCTGCTGTCTCCAGCCAAGCTCCAGACTCCAGGTCAGATGATGGTGGAGGAGCTCACAGAAAGGCTGTTTCAGGCACAGGGCGGGATGCCCCTGGACTTGGGGGCCCTGAACTTACAGAGGGGCCGGGACCACGGCTTACCTGGTATGAGTTTTCTGCATCAGTCACTTATTTATTTATTTATTTATAAATCACCCTGCAGTTTTGCTCATGTCTCTATATTTGTGTCTGTAAGTAAAATATTTTGTGAACCTGCAGACCAGTTTCAATAAAAATTGCAGAATACAATCGTGCATGTACGTCTACAATGATCTAATTTTTGAAGTCCAACATATTTTTTGTTGGTCGCAGCATTACGTCGTCTCTTGCTTTATTTTATAAGCAGAGCAATAATTTAATAATTTAGTATGAACTAAAAAAAATGTTTTTAATGCTCATTTTTTTAGGTTACAGCTCGTGGCGAAGATTCTGCGGTCTCTCTGTTCCCAACACGACGTCAGACCTGGCTGAAATTCTGGGGAACTTCACTTTAGCTCACACGTTCACCCTCTTGTACGGGACTCCGCACAACATCGATGTGTGGGTGGGGGCCATATCTGAGCCTGCTGCGACTGGAGGACGAGTGGGACCGCTCCTGTCCTGCCTCCTGGCCAGACAGTTCAGAGCGCTGAGAGACGGGGACAGGTAGCGCTAAAGAGATTCAAGTTTTTCTTTGGAAAGATGAATAAATGTAAAACTGTCCAGACGACCTGACTGAACGTTGTTGGATTTTATACCTGGATTATTGAGCATGGACTTTGATATAAATAAATGTAAATCTTGGTCGGCCCAGGTTTTGGTGGGAGAGGACAGGAGTGTTCACAAGCACCCAGAGGGGACACCTTCGCTCCATCTCTCTGTCCCGCATCATTTGTGACAACAGCCACATCAGCCATGTCCCAGCAGACCCGTTCTCACGCACCGAGCGCCCCGAAGACATGCTGACCTGTTCCCACCCGCTTATCCCTCATCTCGACCTCAGCCCCTGGAAAGAACCTGGCGCAGGTGAGAGAAGTGGGGGAAAAAAAAAACATGCTAAAATCTGTTTTTATTTATTTGTTGCCTGCGATGTCTCCTTCAGATCCCAGCTGTGGTCGGATTCCCAGGATTCAGTCCGGCTACTCTCTGCTCTGCAACGCTGTGGTTCTCTATCAGTGCCAGGCTGGTTTCAGGCTGCTGGGCTCTTCATCGATCAGCTGTGATGCAGTCAGACAGCAGTGGAGCTCCCCGCCTCCAACATGCCAAGGTACAGAGAATAATCTAAAACTGTGCCAAAAAAGTCCACGCTCAATAATCCAGGTATACAATATAACAATTTTCAGTCAGGTCATCTGGACAGTTTCTTTTTGTTTTGCTGAAACGTTTCACATTCCATCCAGAAGGCTTCATCAGTCAAGGAAACCGGCTCAAACTGTCCAGATGACCTGACTGAAAATTGTTTTTGTATACCTGGATTATTGAGCATGGACCTTTTTGGTTTTGAACCAGTTTGACATGACTGTCAATGAGGAAGAGGGCCAGCACAAGAGGAGGCGGCGTGCCAAAGACACCATCTTAGCACCAACATAACTGGTTTGTTCCACTTTGGAGTAAGCTGTTGGGGGAAGAATCAGTTTTGTGTTCTGTGTTTCCTTGACTGATTAAGCCATCTGGATGGAAGGTGAAACGTTTCACCAAAAAAAAATGTCCAGATGATCTGACTGAAAATTGCTAAAACCCTGTGGTTTGACTGGAAGGGCTGGAAGTTTAATCCTGATGAAAATATTTTACTTCCTTGCTGTCTTTAGTAAAATAATAATCTAAGCAACTTCCCTTATGAATCCTCTAGTTCCATATGCACTGATCTCTTTGCAGACATCAATGAATGTGAGGAGCTGATCTCTCCTTGCCCTCCACACCTGCAGTGCTTCAACACAGCCAGTTCCTTTATTTGCTCAGGTGGGTTCAGCACCATTTAAAACAGCTCAACCAAGCGCTACACGCCACTGTTATGATCCTTTAAAACCTCCTGCTGTGATCCAGAACCCTCCTCGCTGTCCGCCGCCTCCATCGTTGCTGCAGTAGTTGTGCTGGTCGCCGGTGCAGCTGTGCTGGTTTCAGTCACGATCTGCTACCGAAGGTGAGTCCGTGCAGATAGAAACCCTTCTACAAATTAAAGGCTTTCAACGTGCTGTTTAAGCTACAGGCAGGAAATTAATATTTTATGTGATATGCTCAATAGACGAGTAAAATAACTTGTTAAAAATGTGCTCTTTAATGTTAAATCTGATTCTTGCAGATACTTTTCCAAAACAGAGGAGCTGATCTCAGCTGAACGTTGACCAGCTAAAGGTCCCGCGGTTGGTTATTGATGTCGACAACTTCGCTCCACCCATTTGTTGCTCCATCTCACATTCATCTGAACAAAGCGGTCACCAAAACAGAAGCTTACAGGAACGTTCAGTCCGGAAACTGAAATCCTCCTGGAATGTTTGTTCTAAATGTTTTCAGAGTTTAAAGCTCCTCTGAGCTGAAAGTTTTACTCTGTCCTTCATGTTACTGAGCCTGGTTCCTGCTAGTGTTGGATCAGGGTGAGCAGGTGGCCCCAAAGATCCAAATCTGAGAACACGTCAGAAACAGGTTTGGTACTGGAATGAAATGAACAGATGAGAGCAGCTTTCAGGACAAAAGAGTGACAGTCTGGAAGTGATACTTGAACAAAGTGCCTTTTGTTTAATGGAGTGTTGCATTTTTAATAATCATTACACAAAGACAAATCTTAATTTTTACCATCAAACTTTTCTGTAAATACTTTTATCAAAAACAAATTACACTTTGAGGTAAAATATTACTGTACAGCATGGCTATACGTTTTCATCCCAAGTAATTTATGGCTTATTGTATCGTTCACTGCAGATGTACAAAGTGTGATTAAAATACATTCAACTGTAATAAACATGGCTGATCTGCTGAATATTGTAAAGCTTCCACTGCTGGCTGTGTATGTATTTAATGAAGTAAAAACTTTACAAGAAGCTGCGTGGAGACTGGTCTCTTAGAAGCAGGAACATTAACAGAACTAAGACCTGCTGAGATGTTGAGGATGACATCTGAATATCAGTACATCTATACTCGTGTTTTAAAATAGCTGTACGGTGACAGTTGTTCCATTACACAGCTAAAGCCCTCGAGTCACATTACCAACTAAATACGGTTTTCTTTTTTTGTGCTCTTTGTTTTAAAACGTTCATGGTAATATCTGAAACATGGCAGTCCTTTGTGTTAGCATGCATGTGTTTATGGGGCGCCGTTTGTAAAGTTACACAGTCAAATTAACAGCAAGTTTTATTTAGCCTTTCATAAAAATAAAAAGGTTTTCCAAAATCATATTTTCACCATGTTCATACATTTATGACATAGCTGTAAATATTTAATTTACAAATTAAATACTTGCAAGTTAAATATTTTGTTAGCAAGCTAAATATTTAGCTCCATGCTAAGTATTTAGTTTACAATCTAAATGTTTATGTCCAAGATAAATCTTTAACTAGTTAAATTTACAAACAAGTTAAATATTTAGCGAACTAAATATTTAACTTGCAGGTTAAATATTTAGGTGTAAATTAAATATTTAATTTACACCTAAATATTTATTGCCCAACCTAAACATTTAATGCCTAAATTAAATATTTAGTTCGGCCCTAAATTATTTAATTTCCTTCTGGGATTAATAAAGTATTTTTGAATTTAAATATTTATTTTCCAAGCTAAACATTTAATTTCCAAAATAAATATTTAATTTGCTTGGAAATAAACAAGTTTGCAAACTAAATATTTAGTGTGGAACTATGTATTTAGTTTGTAAACTAAATATTTAACTTTTAAATCAAATATTTCGTTTGGAACTATGACATTAATAAATGTATGATTAACATGGTGAAAATATGACTTTGAAAAAAAAAATCCTTATGAAAAGCTAAATAAATATTGCTGTTAATCTTTACAAACAGCACCCCATGTGTGTTAGCCTTTACACCAGCAGGCCAAATATTCAAACTACAACACAATCACTAACATGTAAGGCAACAGAATATATTTAAAATTACTTGGTACATTATTTTATTTATCTGCATTTTCCTGCCCTGATAGTTTGATTCTGTCCTGATCGCATATAAAAAAAGTGGCACTGGGATATTTTCAGCTTGTTGGTGAACCTCAGATGTGCACCTTGAACAAAAACTGATCCAAGACCTGTGGTGTGCGAGCACAGCTACTGAGAGTTCTGTGATGAGCTGCTGGGTGTTCTGATGGACTCTCAGGTCTTCTAGCCCTGGTCTGGGTTGTAGAAACCCAACTTGACGACAGTCATCTCTTTGCGAAGACGCAACACCTCCCAAAACATCTGCTCCACTAGAAGATGATGAAAACAAAGATGTAATCAAACATAATGAATCTGTTTTAACAAAGAGAAGTGTGGTAACTCACCATCATGTCTCACCAGACCTTGCTGGATGTACCGAATATAAGTAAAAAAGTTGCATACGGCCGTGATCTAGACAAAAAAAAATAAAAAAATCTATTTTTGTAGCAACAAATGTTTCTAATCAAGTTACCAAGAGACGGCGAAGCTTACCCGTGCTCTGCTGGAGGGAGAGATGTAGTAGTAGTTCTCCTTGTCACCCAGTTTGATGCGATGTCGACAGATTCGTGACAAACCGCTTAATGCACATTTTCTGCAGAGAAGATGATCGGTTGTGAGACACTGAAGAGTTACAGATCTTCAGCTAATCCATGAAAAATACCACATTTACAACAAAGCTGCAGCACAAAGTGGAGACGCCTTTCCAAATAAAAACAAGACGGACGTGGAAATGATTGCAAGACGTATTTATGCAAACTGACGAGCAAGACCAAAATTGGAGCATTCAGCGACACATCTGGATGTTAGGCTCTTAATCCATGCTACAAGAAGAGTTAGTGCACAGATTCCTGAGGGGACTTACGTCTCTACTGAAGCCCTAAACCCACTGAGGAGAAAAATAAATCAAACTGGGATTAGAAATGTGCCCACTGATTCGCTCAGAGTGAGACAGTGAAGACTTCATGCGTCATCGGTGAATGAGTCGAGTAAAAAAAAAAAAAAAAAAAAAAAAAAAGACATGATCTTGTGAATTAGTGAAACGGCCAATGAAAGTCAGAGGTGTTCACTCACTTCGGACCTCCACGCTCTGAAGCAGAAGCTTTGACCATCGGTAGCGCTGACACGGCCACAGGCTCGATGGTTAAAGAGTTGCTCTCCACTGCGCTCTGAACCAGCTGGGCCAGCTGGCAGAAACAAACGTTAACGTGACTCCACAAGTTCAGGTATTAAAGCAGTGGCTGTGCTGCTGACCTCTGATCTAGTGAAGGACAGGCAGGGTCCGATGTCTTCTTTGTAAATGCGACCGAGGAAGGCGGAGGATCGGTCCAGGCTCGGCTGTTCCTTCCACAGCAAAAACTCTGCGAACAGAATGGAGTCCATCTGCAGGGAGACAGAAACCAGTCAGTCTGTAAACTGGTTCTGTGTGACACCAAGCCACAACTTTCCTTCTGTCACCATCTCACCGAAAAGAAAGAAGGTTTCAGCGAATCAGAATTCCCAAAAAGCCTTTTTATTACGAGAATCTAGACCTGGGGTCTGCAACCTGCGGCTCTGGAGCCACATGCGGCTCTTTGGTTACTCTGCAGCGGCTCTAAAGTTTGGACCAAAACGAACAAAACTGAATTTATTAAGTGTCGTACCAACAAGAAATGGCTGGTTTTAGCAGTTTTCCCATCATTTCTTTTGCCAATATGTGAAAGACGTAATAACACAAGGAGTAAAACGTGTTTACATCTTTTAGCTCACTTCCAGTCTTACGGTGTGATATTCTTCACAAATCCACCAAATGTTTTTTGGGGAATACCTTTAAAGGCAAGTTGCTGAGAAGAAATATGTTGAGTCAACTTGAGAACAATAAAAATTAAAGAAAAAAAGTCAAAGTCAATGGAAGTATTTATTTTCATTTTAAAATTCAATTATGCATCAAACAAACTGGCCTCATTTCTAACTTTTTGCTTCATCGATTCATAATAGGATACTTTATTGTTTCCACAATTACAAAGAAAACTCACACAAGCCTGCATATTTGTTTGAATTTTTATAAAATTGGTTAAAAAAAATTATATATTTTTTCTCTTTACATAAATCCAGACTTTTCTTTTGCCCTAAAATATAAATAATTTGATATTTTAATTTCATAAGATGATCACACCTTCTGGCTGGAAAAGCCCCTCCACCAGGCTTGAAGTGGGCCATGGGCCACCAGTTGATGATCACAGTTTTAGCAGGTTTTGAGGCTCCATAGACGTTTTGTTTAATGTGCAAGGGGGAAGACGTGGCTCTTCTGATCGTTAAGGTTGCAGACCCCTGGTTGAAGCATTCAGAGAAAACCATTGTGCATCTGAACCCTGAAGAGAATGCACTTGATTAAAACTCTTACAAGCTGCCGTTAGACTCCGTTACTTATTCGACGTCTTCTGTCCAAAAACAAGCCGGCCTGCAGCCAAACAGAGGACAAGAAGAGAAATTGCCAGTCCAGTATTTTTCCAATAGTTTTGTGTGGAACAAGAGCTCCCAGAGTCCAACTTGGAGCCGTTTTATCCAAAACTACATTTGAACGGTGGTGCAGTGGAGGAGAGCCGAGTGGAGCAGCACCTCCTCAGACAGGCTGCCCTGAACAAAGTCTAAACGACAAAAACAACTGAATAAAAACTGAAAATTGTCTACCTTTTTTTAGAGCGATGCCCCATCTATTTTTCACTTAGAAATTTGTTTTGTTGTTTTTAAAATCACTGGATCTGAACACTAACCTAGAGGACATTTGTGTCAAACTGAAACTTTCTCATCCTCTGGAATCAGAAAAGGCATTTAAAACCAAAACACGGTTAGAATACGCTGCAAACAACGGCAGGTTCACACATGAACGTCTTGCTGTGCACATTTGTGATGCTCTCTTCCCAGAAATCAAAACAAACATTTTGTTCTTTCTGAATAATTAAGAACATTAACAAACCAGAACATCCACCAAGTACGACGTAGATGTTTCTGCATTGGTTTCTAATCCGACAGCATGTGTGAGATAAATAATTATCAGAATAACAGTTTCTACTTCTGAACTGAAAGTCAAAAGTAAAAAAAGTCATAACTTTACAGCTCCACTGACAAATTATAATAAACCAGCAGCAGAATGATGACAGCTCATATCGTCAGAAGCCATTGTGATAAGGGGAGGAGAACAAATCACAGTAAGACTGCAGAACGTCATAAGCACAGTGAAATATTAGAGATGAAAGAGTTCTGTGACCAAGCTGAAGGATAGTAGTTACCCATTTAGTGCTGGGACGAGGACTGACCTGGCAGCAGGCAGAAAATCAGAGAGAGGAGAGCAGGAACAGCAGGCTGAGAACAGATGAAACACCAAGAAGCTCAAGACCCAGAGAGGTTAGCAGTGAGAGAACGAACAAGAGCAGCAACGAGAACTCAAAGGCTCAAGGACAGGAAACGGACTTTCTGGAAGTTACCTCTCTCTCCTCTTGAACCACAGACTGCTTAGAAACAGCGGGAGCTTCTGATTTAGTCGACAAAGTTTGAAAGGCTCCGCTGATGCTCTTGTTGCGGACATGGCCCCCGCCGTGTTTGTACGATCCCCGGGACCCTGCAGACTGCAGCTGAGGGTGCAGCTGGCGGTTGGGTGAGGAGGGCGTGGACGTCAACACCAGGGTTTTGAGCGCAGTCACCTCTGCTTGCAGAACATCGATCTGGGAGAAAAAAATACAAGAACAAAAGGGAGAATTTGGAAAAAAAATGTGTGTATAAGCACAGTTTATTCATTTTTATTTAATAAGTGACGAGATGAGTGGATGCATCGTGTTTTAAATGAAATGCAGCTCGACCCACCTTCCCCTGAGCCTCCTTCAGTCGTTTCTCTGCTGCTGCTTGTTTCACATTAGCTTCACGCACCATCTTATGAGCTTCCTGTTTGAAAAATAAATAAATTAGGACTGAAACATGGAAGATCTGACAGCCCTGTGAGACAGATTGATTTATGGAACCACAAGAAAAGCTGCTAGTTCTGGTGTAACCAAGGCTGTACGCTCTTCAGGAAGTCTCTTTACTGATGGCTTCACCTAAAACTCATCTTTATGAGGCGGACTGGTCCAACACATTCTGCTGTTGCCACAAAGGCTTATAGCTTTGAGTCTGGCCAAATGAACTGTAAAGTGTTGACTAGAAGCTTTGTGTTAGCCAAACATGTAAATAAACAATCATGTGCAAAAAATAATAAGTATATTTTAAAATCACATCAGATCCTCCTCAAGGTTAACAGGTGAAACTGCTCGGCGAGTCACGCCACTGAAATTAAATTAAAATGGTCACTGAATGCGCTAGGCAACTGTGATGGCTGCCATCTTGCTAGGTGCTACGCCCGTCACTGTGTGCGATTCACCTGTTGGAGCCGCACACCGTTAATGTTCATGTGCTGCAGGCTGCGGCTTCAGTCAAAAAAGGAAGTAAGTCCTGGTTTTACTCAGACCAACATGCATAATGTGAAAACAGGAGACACGTGTTGTAATGAGCCTCCCACCAAGCCCACGCAGGAATTATTAGAAGCAAAATGTCCTCATATATTACGCTAACACTACTGTGATTGAATTACCAACTGCTGCTATCATTCAACCCAGACTAGTGCATAACTGAGATTTAAGTACCGTATAGTCTAATCAGAGCTCTGCTACCACTGTCTGTGGTTAATGTCACCTCAACAAATATATTTTTTTCTTCATACTTGAAGTATTTAAACACTTTATAACACTTTATGCTTAGAGATGCAAGTTTTATCTATCTTATCCACTAATTCATTACTACTCAGCATGTGATTTTTTACCAAGAAATAGGTAAAAAGTTTATACACTACTATTTAATTTTTATTGATAATAAATTTTCAGTTGGCTGATATATGCCTAGCCCTATACCCTGCTTAACAGGTAATATACCAGTAAGTGTCTAGCCTAAAAAGAGCCCCAATAATAATGTATTAGACTAGTACTGACAAAGGAAAAACACATTACCGTATTTTTCGGCCTATAAGTGGCTGTTTTTTGCATAATTTGCATGCCCTGCGACTTATATACATATTTTTCTCCCATATTTATAAATCTATTTTTGGCTGAGATACAACCGTTTTCATTCGTTATGACTGAACAAAAAAATTAAGCAGTACCACTTTCAGCCACTTGATGGCAACAGAGTAGTAGTAGCTGTATGGCATGCCGTTGTATCACGTAATAGGTAAACGTGGCTATAATGACAAATTCAAAAAAGTTCAAGACAAAAACAACTGGATTTTATTTATTATACTTTATCGTTTTTTTTTTTCTTGAACTTTTTTGAATTTACCATGTCCTGGATGACTGAGAATCTTCACCAGCTATTAATGACACAATTGGCCCGCCATGTTACCCCACCTTCATTCTGCTCGCTGCTTGGACTGATCGTCAAACCAGCTGCACTGCCCCGGTGAAATACAACTAATTTGACCATTAAAGTGCATTTATTAAGCAAATGTTACACTGAGACACACCTTTGCTCTAATTTCGAGCAAACAAATCATTTTTTAGGTGTTTATCTTGTTAAATTCTTGTTAAAGTCCTCCTGTGCATGCCCCAGCCAATCAATTTTTGGCACAACACCGGCACACATTTCTGGTTTGTCACCGCTGACGCGTGACAAACGCAACGCGTCAGCGGTGACAGATGCGACGTATTTGGTGAAGCGACATATTTATGGATTTTTCCACTTTATTAAACAAATATGGACTGATGCGACTTATAGGGCGAAGCGACGTGTACGACGGAAAATACGGTAATATGTCCTTTGAAGTGTAAGTTCAGATAATTTTAAGAAATATTGGAAAAACATTGGGATTCTTGACTGAGTTTAGGTTTTCCCCCTCAGGTACCCTTGATCTGTCGTCTTACTGGCAGTAATTTAGGACTCTACGTAGAACCTGCCAAGATGGCAGCACAAACTCTGGCCTTAGTTAACATGGACTGCCCTGTGTTTGACCATTCAAGTGTATTTTTATTTTAGTGGTCATAACTGTCTGTTGTTTTTTTGTTTAGGTACTGTGTGTATTTTAGAGACCACCTGTCAGTTTTTGCTTCAACATCTTTGTTAGGAGGCTTTATTGTACTTGGTGTTGGTGCAAGTTACATTATCTTAACAATACCAGTCTCTTCCTGACGTGTTGTGCATCATTCAGTCACATGTAAGGTTAGGATTCAGCAAAGGAAGAGCTCTTAGGCAGAAGTCTAAAAACCAGAGCATTTGTTAGCAGAACTTCTACAGCATCGCTCCTCATCATCAAAGTTATGATTTCCTGCTGACCTCAAACAGGCTGGCCGTCAGCTCCTCCAGCTCCTGCTCCAGCTGATTCCTGACTTGTGACAGACGCTCACACTCCTTATCTTTTAGTTTCAGTTCCTGAGGTGTGAAGAAAAAAAACGCACACACAAGTTTTACTAGGAAGAACATTAGACTAGTCAGCTTTTTTCCCTGTCACTTCGTCTTTTGTCTACGTGTGCAAGAATGAAGTAGGTTACAACACACCCTCTTTGCTGCGTCCAGTTGCTCCCTCAGGATCTCTGACCCCTTTTCTCTTATTTCTTTTTCTTTAATTTCCAGCGAGGAGCTGCGCAGCCGGGAGAGCTCGGCATGATGTCTGCCTGAAGTGGACCCGACCTGGCCTCGTCCCTCCACTCTGGGCTCGGGCTCAGGATCCAGATCTACCAACCTTCAAACAACAACAACACAGGACACTTAGTTGCACAATCCACGCTGAAGCAATGTCAACGTTACCACAGTTTGACTCATAAAACAGCGTCAGCAAGGTGATTCAGTTACAAGCTGAAAGCCAGTCAGTAATTACCTGAAGGGTGCTGCTGAGTCAGGATGTTACTACAGTTTTGTCCTGTTTCTTACAGAATGGACTTTTAGATACATTTCATCGGCTGTAGACTGATTATTGTGGGTCTGAAACTTCATCATCCACTTTATGTTTTAGCTCACGCTGCACAATGTGTTGCCACAGTCGTGTAGGAGGACGGGACAGGAAAACAAGGGAAAATGCAAAAAATGTAAATTAAAAAAAAAAAGATTTGAAAGACCAGAAGTGATGAAGAACTAACGACCGAGGCCACTTCATGACTAAAAGAAGAACCTGGATCTTTGGAACAACACAAAGTTGCACATGGCCATAGCTACATGATCTGAATGTTTAAAGTCTAATTCAGCTGCTTGGCATCAAAAAAAGGTTACTTCACGTGATTTTTTTTTTTTTTTGCAGGTGGGGGGGGGGGGGGGGGGGGTTCAGAATAAAAATAATTTTAAACTATTTTTCCACCATGTTAGCAAAAATAAAATCATAACATGTTGTTCAACCCAGAGGGTCTGAGGAGCTCATAACAGTAGAACACATGTGATGTTCAATTCATAATTGATTTTCAAAGCTTTTTTAAATAGAAAAATAAATAAAAACCACTGGATGTTTACACTGAGCAGCTGGTAGTTCTGCCTTATGACTTGAAGCTTGTGACAGAACACAATTCTTTAACAATAAAAGTCTCATAAAAACGTCCTGAGTCTGCAGCTCGATCAGGACCAGTTAGTTCTAATTTTATTACAAACTCATGTCAACAAATCAGTCAAGAGTTACTTCAAACCAGGTTTATCCTCCGTGTATTCAGTAGAGAGAGACACTGCCAGGGCAACAAGATGGAGGAAGACCCAGCTTGTTGGTTTTAATCGATTACAAAAGCCTGTCAGGCAGAACATGCCAGAGATGAGACAGATCTGCAGAACCTGTCGGACCTCAGACTGTGGGCGGCTGTGGCTGAGTGGTTAGAGCAGTTGTTCTCTAATGCAAGAGTTGGGGGTTCGATTCCCCCAGCAGTCACATGCTGAAGTGTCCCTGGGCAAGACACTGAACCCTCATAGCCTCTGATGTGTCCCATCAGTGTATGAATGTGATAAAGCACTGATTAGTCTTTATAAAGTAGTGCTGTATGAATGGGTAAATGAGGCACAGATTGTAGTGTAAAGTATCATGATAAGATAGAAAGGCGCTATACAAGTACAGTTCATTTACCATTTACTGTCAGAGACGGCTCATAAAACTTACACCACCAGTCCTGTCCTAACAGGACACCCAAGTGTGCACAGACACGTAGTGTGCATGACTGTTCTGCTCAGCTAAATGAGGACATGTCCAAAGACTAAGACATATACTTGTAGTCCATCCTTTCGTTTCCCCCATAACTGGTAATTCAAGTGCAAAATACTGTGCAAATTGTTTAGTAATTATTTAACTATTAGTCAAAATCCTCCTGCACAAACACCTGCACACACTTAGTGACCAACTTCTTGCACAGCTAATAAAACTAAACTGTTTGAAACTTTTATCAAATCATCCTGGACCCAAAAATAATAAATATTTAAGTTAAGGCAATGCTGCTAAACATTCAAGCTCATTTTATCAACAGTTTTATGAATTGAAACTATTTTCTGTTTTTCATTCTCTAAAAAAATGACAGGATGAAAACTTGCAGTGAACATTTACCATGAGATGCTGAAAACATGAAACAAGCAGACCTGCTTGTGTTTCCACACACAGTCATGGGCCGTTTTATTTTAGCATTAAAAAACAATTAAAGATAAACAACTTAGAGAAATGAGAACTGAATTTGAACAACCAGCAGCAAGGTCAGTCAAAACCTGGAAACGTATGTGGAGTGTAACATCAAGACTCAAAACTTGTACTGGAACCAGTCTGTCTAGAGAGGCTGGTCCTGTTCTGGTCGAATGTTGAGATTTTTTCCACGGTTGATGAGCTGAACTCAGCGCCCCGTCTGAAAAGCACCAAAACAATTAGGGTCATCACAGCCACCTTGTGATTAAATCAGCAGCACAACGTCAACAGAGGCAATCATTTTTCAGCATTTCGCCGCTTTCAAACTCTTCATCTCAGAAGCTTCAAAAAGACGTAGTTTGTTTAAATTAGGTAATCTGTCACCTGGTCTAGAATAACATCAGGAACAGACCTTTATTTAAGAAAGGGGAATCCCCAAGTTTCACAATTAAAACGCCAAACGCTATATGAAGGGACTTCCAGGTGCTATGGAAGCCAGCAGAGAAAAATGTGTATTTCCAGAGAAATTAAAAAGATTTTATCAAAGTTCATGCTCAATAATCCAGGTAAAAAATCCAACAATGTTCAGTCAGGTCATCTGGCTGGCTTATTTTTGTTGCGACGTGTCGCCCTTCATCAATCTGAGGAGTCACAAACAAACCGTTTCCCCACCAAGCAGTACACTCCTACAGTGGACCAACCAGTTTGCTGGTGATATGATGGTTTCAGGGGGGGCGCTGATTTTATATATGTTAGAAATACTTAAATTGCTAGAACACTGCTATTTAAAAGTGGCTTTTTTATGTATTGAACTTTATTTTTAATATAAAACAGTACATTAAAAATGTTCTCAACATCTTTGTTATAATTTTATTTTGCACATACTAATGAGATTAATCGGAAAAATATTTGAGATTAATAGCGATTAAACATTTTAATCTATGCCCAGCACTAATATTCATGTTATTTGCAGTGCAGCCTGTCTGTGCTTGTTTTGGCAGCACAGGGCACAAATGTTTTTGTACAGTGCCCTGAGATTGTTGCTATATACACTAAATAACATGAACAGAAAAACTGTAAGGATCTACAACCACCACGGCAACGAACAGCACCGGATCATGGATCATTTGGCAACATGCCGCATAGGACCAGCTTCAAATAAATAAATAAATAGATATATTTTCATGTAGTCTGCAGAGTATTCTATTTTGAAAAATGACCACTTCCTGTTCTTGACATTTGCATATTCCCCACCACCACATACAGGTCCTTCTCAAAAAATTAGCATATTGTGATAAAGGTGATTATTTTCCATAATGTAATGATAAAAATGAAACTTTCATATATTTCAGATTCATTGCACACCAACTGAAATATTTCAGGTCTTTAATTGTTTTAATACTGATGATTATGGCATACAGCTCATGAAAACCCAAAATGCCTGTCCCAAAAAATTAGCATATCATGAAAAGGTTCTCTAAACAAGCTATTAACCTAACCATCTGAATCAATGACGTAACTCTAAACACCTGCAAAAGATTCCTGAGGCTTTTAAAAACTCCCAGCCTTGTTCATTACTCAAAACCGCAATCATGGATAAGACTGCCGACCTGACTGCTGTCCAGAAGGCCATCATTGACACCCTCAAGCAAGAGGGTAAGACGCAGAAAGAAATTGCTGAACGAATAGGCTGTTCCCAGAGTGCTGTATCAAGGCACCTCTGTGGGAAGTCTGTGGGAAGGGAAAAGTGTGGCAGAAAACGCTGCACAACGAGAAGAGGTGACCGGACCCTGAGGAGGATTGTGGAGAAGGGCCGATTCCAGACCTTGGGGGACCTGCGGAAGCAGTGGACTGAGTCTGGAGTAGAAACATCCAGAGCCACCGTGCACAGGCGTGTGCAGGAAATGGGCTATGAAATGGAAATGGGCAGGAATGTGCCTCATTCCCCAGGTCAAGCCACTTTTGAACCAGAAACAGAAGCGCCTGACCTGGGCTACAGAGAAGCAGCACTGGA